TTTTGAAACCTACAATAACTTTCCATAAGAGTAATCTGCATTCTGGGTCCAGTTTTTTAATCGTATCAAGTTATTTCGATGGCTCACACAATAAGTCATTACGAATTAGAAGTCCAAATATGACATATATTATGTTATACCCCTCCTTGGTAAACCGTTCTAATATATACACGGGACTCGTCTGTTCATCTTCGACTGGAGTTAACTGCACTTTATTTGGATTGATTGACTTTTATCGTGATTTTTGAACATTGCTGACGTCTATTTGTTCTAATAGAATGGCCATAACATATATGTATTATCATTATACGAGTATATTGTGAGCATCAGTTAAGCATATAAACAATTCTAGATAATAAATAACGATTAATGATTATACGTGTTTTTCAGAAAAGGAAAAAGTTTTTAGAATTAAAAATTTAAATGACGTAAGTTGTAGTATATTTTTATTATTTATTTATGAAATAAGAAATTTCAAGCTTTTTTATATCTAGTAATGACAATACAAAATATCCCACCATGTAAATATATCATTTTTATTTTCACCTCTTATCCATAAACTGTTATAATTTTCCAATTTTTTCATTATACAAATTCCAATATAGTCACATCGTATAAGATATTGCTCAAAAAATGTAGTTAACATACGTAAATATCCGATGATTATTATCTGAGTATTAGATATTTCAATTTCTAGACAATGGGTATGAACATATTTTTAGTTATATATTTTTTTGAATATTTATTAACAGTTATAAATATAAATTATCATTAATAGATTGCTTCTACATAACGCCTTGGATTACTACAATCATTCAATTCCGATACAAACAGTATCTTCTATTCGTATATTATAAATTCGTATCGGTATTCAACGATTGCAGTAATCTAAAGCGTAATGGATAAGAAACCTATTAATAATAATCTATATTTAGAACTGTTAATAAATATACAATAAAATATAATTATAAAACAATGTTCATATCCCTTTTCTAGAAATCGAAATACCTAATACTCAGATAATAATCATCGGATATTTTCGTAGGTTACATTATGTGGTTTCCAGCTTTTGTTTTTCTCGGGAACGCGATTTAGTTTATCCGAAATTGCTGTTTCAATATCTCCATTAGTTTAATTTAACATATTTTCTGCATCTTAGATATTATTTATACATTTTATCATTGATGTAACTGTCTACAGATCGATAATCTATACGTTTAGTAAATTTAACAACTAAGCCGAAAACAATAATAATCAAATATAACCATTTAGTCCAAATTCTGGGTTTTTATAATTGTTATTAATGAAATCAATTTTTTTTTATTACTATAGTATAATAAACATACACATACGTATAAAAATTCCACTGTTGGATAAACTGAAAAAAAAATAAAAAAGTAAAAAAAAGCAGTTATTTACACAAAAAAAAGGCAAAAAAAGCAAAAATAAATTGGTTTATTTGGAACCAGAAAGATGTAAAACGAATTTATGCTTAAAAATTAGAGGTCTATTTCATATATAAACAATGAAGCATTTGCTTTAAAATCTGAGCCCTAATTATAAATATTTTAATGTATTCCGCAAAAGATACTTCTGTTATCTGAATCTTGAAAAATCCAAACACTGCAAAATATCAATTTGATGATGAATACAATATAATATGCTTTTGTTGGTTGTCAAGAAATTGCCACAAACTACAAATAGACGAGAAATCAATCAGAATCGACATTTACAAATGGATTAGAATTAGCACTTAGCACTTTTAATGTGCACTGAGTGTTCGTCATTTTCATCAATCCATTTGGAAATCGAATATACTTCAGAATTGTCCGTATTTTGGTCCAACGTGTCTTTATTACTATATTCGAAAACACTATGAACGTATTAATATATCAGTAATACTTTAAGTACTATGGGAAATGGATAGTTTTTTAATTTTTACTAAGTCTAAAAAAAAAAAAAGATAAGGTGAAAAATGCAATATAGAATTGAATGTGAATTCTACAATTATTGTAGGTTTTTAATTTATTGTATAGTTAAAAAACGGGTAGTAAACATCACGAATATTGAAACGCAAACGTATACCATTTTATATGACTGGTGTTGGGTTTCAATAGACGTAATTTTAACTTGGTGTTCTAGTTTTGAATATGGTTACAGTAACCCAGAAAATGAGTTTATAAATGTTTATATATATACATATTCTTGAACTGTTAACATGTATATCATTTTACAGATGTCTATCATGATAAAAACAGAACTTCATTGTAACATACCCATCAGTATATTTAATTATTTATTTTCATTCATTGAAATTATAAGTTTAATATTACAAATTAACTTGACGTAATGATTTTTTTAACGAGGAAAAGGGATTTCTCAGTTGAATATATGTGATGCAATCATTGAAAATACTCAGTGGGAAAAAATAAATATTTTATATAATCTGACATCTTAAATAATGTCTTCTTACGAATAAGGTAAAAACAGTGTTACATTCTTCTTTGCATATTTTACACTGTTGAATAAAAAAAAAAAAATAAAAAAAATATTTTAACCGGAGCATTAACTTATTATTAACTTGTTAGTTGGTTAGAGGCTATATCATGGTATCGTCTAACCCACAAAATGTCTTTATGTTTTTAATATACACCGGCTACTAATTCTGAACACCAACAATTTAAAAATTACCATAATATTTTAGATTGGAAGAATACGCTCGTCGAATTGCACGTTGAGTTTACGAAATCGTTCATCATATATTGTATCGAACACGAACTTGGATTATTAATAACAATTTTCCTGATGTCTATATAAAATTATTGCTGTCGTACATAAAATGTTGATTATGTCAACAGAAAATAAGTATTTTCCTCTCATCTTCGATGTAATATAATAATGCGATCTCAAGTGTCTGACGTGAACAATATAAAGGCCTTGGGTATTATTACTATGGCACGGGGTGAGGTATAATAGAGATAAATCAGTAGGCTGAACATTTTTAAGTTTTTTTTTTATTATTTTTTTTTTGCCTTATCACGTAGGAGAAGAAGAGGAAAAATCGTGGTTTGGTAGTAGAGAGGGATAGGGGTAGAGTTGTATAATATATGTCGATGGAATCCAGAATATCTCGTTTTTGTAAAAGATTTCATCCGGGAAATTGGAAAACCCACGTAGAGCGATAATTATTTTTGAGCTATAAATTCACCACGGCAAAATAAACTCAAACCACCCACTGGGACAAGGTTTTTATATATTTTTATATATATATTTCACAACAACCACAAGGAAAAAATATAATAATAAACGACCAGAAAACCACTCTTTGGTCCCTAACGGCCGTTATGGATTGTTAATTTTTATGATACAAAAAAACTTTCTTGGTAAAATTCAAGAAGTAAAAGATCCTCGCTTTAGATAATAACTTCCGAATGGCAAAACGTTTTCTGAACGGTCCTCGGTGGTATATATTTTCAAAATGAAATTATATTCGACAGAAATAGTGCATTTGTATATTTTATAAAATTAAATAAAAAAAAAAATACTTTTATCATCGACGCACAAATACATTTGACTTCATATTCAGTATTCTAATTTTTGGATTTTATTTAATTAGTGTTTTATAATAATAATGTTAAATGTAACGACAAAATAATTTAGAAATACATTTCGAAAAACCGTAGGATCGTACACAATAATCTTAAAATATTCATTTCGTTTTTCAGACGTAAAATATTTTTGTATTTCTTCGAAATATAACATATATAAATAACAAAAAAAAAAAAAAAATTACGTAAATGGTAATTTTTCTTTTAGTGTATCACGACTTGTTCATTCATTATGTATGTTATTTCAATCGTTAGATATAAAAACATAAATGTATACAGTTACAATTAATTGGTTTAACTGGTTAGTATTTTATAATGAATTTGTTTTTGAAAATTTTTTACCCAGTAAGTTTTACAGTTTCTGTGGACTTAGTTTTGCAAAAAGATTAAATTTTCTTAAAACGTATGATATCAAGATTTTTGTTTAATCATTTTATACTATAACGTTGAAATAATTTTTCGTCATCATATATTTCTTTTTTGTTTAAGTAGAAATGATGACCTTTATTAATGGGTAAAAATAAGTCTTTTTCTCTAAATATCATAGTAAAAATATTTAAGGATATAAATAATTCATTGATAAATACTATATAAACTATTAAGTGGACGATGGAAAGCTATTGTGGTTTTGTTTAATTAATTTGTTTTCCTCAAAAAGTATATTTAACAAGGATTAAACATTTAATGCTCTCATTAATTTTTAAATATTTTTATATTTTCAATATTTGAATGGTTTAAAAATAATATCAGATGAATTAATGAATTATAATATATATATATATATATTAGGGTGGTCCTTAGTTATAGAGGTTAAAAAAAAAAATTGAAAAATTTATACTCATGGGCTCGAAATTTTGTTTGGTATATTGACAAGATAATTTTGGTAAAATTTGAATTTGATAAGTCAACCCCTTCACGTGCCTCAAAAGGGTTAAAGTTGTATGATAAGGGGGTGAATTATACATTTTCACCTGTAATGTCTTAAATTCTAAATTTAGACCATACATGTATAGGACTATTTTTATAGTAATAAATACTTACTACAAAAAAGGTATCTTGTAAATTTTTTGTAAAATTAATACGTTTTCGTAAAATTAAGAAAAACCAGTCAAAGTCAATATTTTTGGAAAATGGTTCGTTTTTTAGTTATTTATCTGTATCTCCTTAAATTTTATAGCTACACAAAAATTGTAAATTAGCAGTATTATTCCACTCAATATTATCTATAAATAAGAAGTTTTCATTTTTTTTGTTACATTAACCCTTTTGTAAATAATCAAGAAAAACCTTAAAAATATAGGTTTTTACAACTTTTTATTTATTAAAATATGTTAATTTTTTAAATATTGTATTCATGTTACACAATATATTAATCAAATTTAATTTTAAGTTTATTCATTAAATATTAAAAAATAATATTAATGATGTATTATTAATAGGCATAAGTTTTCTTTAAAATCTCACGGCTAAACCCTGGATATTGTTGGCGATATTCTTGAACAACCTAAAAAAGTTACATGTATTTATATTATTTGATAAAGGTAAAATATTACAAGATTATATAAATATTTCATACTTGTAAAATAAATTGTTTTTGATCTTCATTTTTAGTGAATTTTTCATTATATTCCTCCATCAATTTTATCCCACGTTCAGCTGTATCGTTAACGACTTTTAGTGCAGATAATATTTCTTTAGCTTGTATATACTCATCCAAGGCTTTCCATGTGCTTGGATCTTCTCGTAAAAAGTTAAAAGATATTTTAAATCGTTGAAATAATTTCCATGATTTATTATTAAGCAAGGCAAATGGAAGATCTTGATTAACAAAATTTGATACATCATCAAATTGTACGTTAATTTTTTTATTTGAACCTTCATTTTCTTCTTCGTTTATATTTTCTTCGTATCCTTGCAAAATTTTATTTGCCATTCGATGTTTAGTATTGTAGTCAACTCGGTCATCAAATAATGAAAACACAGCACATTCTTCATTCAAATACCACAAGTGATTTATGAATTTTTTTAAAGCAACTTTTCCCAATTTATTATTGTTATAATTCAATAACTTTTTTAAAAACATAATATCATTTATAGGAGCGGTAATAATATCTGGAGCCGAAATCCACACTTGAATATAACATTCAAGTATAAAACTACATATATCTTCCAGTGACTTTTTTTCTTTTGTTGAAATTGATCACAAAACATTAAAATTTTAAGACAGTATATAGCTTTTGACATCCATCGAGCTAGTGATAAGCACCTGGCTGACGAAATCGTATACCATTTGGAGGTATTCCTCCTAAAAATATTAAAACTAGCTGTATAAACTCTTTATAGTCATCTCTCGGAAAGTGATTTTTAAGTTTGTCTACACAAAATAATATTAAATATTATTTTAAATATTTTTAAATATAAAAGTGTTGGATGGATAATATTGTGTGGAAAAATATTGCTAATTTACAATTTTTGTGTAGCTATAAAATCTAAGGAAATACAGATAAATAACTAAAAAACGAACCATTTTCCAAAAATATTGACTTTGACTGGTTTTTCTTAATTTTACGAAAAAGTATTAATTTTACAAAAAATTTACAAGATACCTTTTTTGTAGTAAATATTTATTACTATAAAAATAGTCTTATACATGTATGGTCTAAATTTAGAATTTAAGACATTACAGGGGAAAATGTATAATTCACCCCCTTATCATACAACTTTAACCCCTTTGAGGCACGTGAAGGGGTTGACTTATCAAATTCAAATTTTACCAAAATTATCATGTCAATATACCAAACAAAATTTTGAGCCCATGACATAACATTAATGAAGTTCATAAATAAGGACCACCCTAATATATATATATATATATATATAATAACTTATGTAGCCTTTTATAATATTGAAATCAAGTTTTGACTAATGGATTTGGTTTATTTATTTATTGAAAATAAGTTTGTTTGTGGAATATCTTATTTGTAATTAATCACACTTCGTATACCGCATTTAAAACCCATAACTCTTATCTCGTTCGGTCGTACCAATAAAGAAAAATAGATATGCCAATATGAAACGGAGAGTTATAAAATATTTAAAATTATAGTCTTCACAAAAAATTATATTTGTCGGCTAATACTACGTATTACTCTATTGATGTATTAACTGTCGCATTTTATACATTATATCTGTATATTATCATGTACAGACACCATGATAACTACGATTAAATATTGTATTTATAACCCTTCAGCGTTAATAGAGTGTGTATTTACGGTGAAACCAGAATGTCTTCTGAGACGTGCCAGTGTACGAATAACGCATTATTTAGTGTCAATTTTTGATCTTTTTTTTTTTATTTGCAATTACTGTAGTTCAAAAAGTCACAATTGTTCTATTAAATAAGGCAATTTCCATGAGGTACATAATTATAAAAAAATATTAATAATAATAATAATTAAGTAAAATATATTTATATATACAGTGTGTTTAACGATAAAGGTAACACTAAATATTTCGAAACATGACTTTTGTGACGTCTCGCTCCCATTTCATCCGTTAGAGGGTTCCTAGGGAACACTTATCGCATGGTGGCACCGTAGTAATGGGCTCCACGAGGACGAGCGCACGTCGACAGGTACGCCTACCTGCCGACTTACAGCCGAGATATATCTGCCGAAGCTGTAAGATTTTATCCTACTCTTTTCATAGTCCTAGAAAAGGATACAGAGGTCGCAATAAAAAAATAGGTGTAATGAATAAAGAATAACTGTTGTTTTTTGGGGTAAAGAAAAGAGTTTTATTATGTTGTTTTATATCAGTTAAAAAAGGGAAAAAATTAAGTTTTATTTAATACTGAAGAAAAGCCAAATGGTATAAAACTTCGGTGATAATGTCAAAAGAAAAAAAAATATAAGGGGTCAATATAATAAAATACAAATAAATTATAATAATAAACATTTCATGACCGAGACACAAATCGCAAAATATACAAAATATAATAATATAAAATACATGACCAATTTATAATACCATATTTTATTAAAATGTATTTAAAAAAAATATGGTATTATAAATAATATAAGAATATCCAAGGAAGGAGTTTGGGAAGTGTCGGTGCAAATGTATATATACGAAATAGAATCAATTGAAGGATCATTAAACTTAAAAAAAAAATCTATATCAAATGTCTTCTCAAACGGTTCACTTTGTGATGCTATCTGGAGAGACGGACGATGAAAATGCGGATCTTCATTTTCATAAATTTTATTATTTGGAGACTCAGTCGGGAAAATGGTTTGCCATGCCATTAATTATAATATTCGTAGGGGATGTCGCAAAACTACGACTGCAGATCCGTTGTTTTACAAAAGTCCGTAGTTTGGCCTACAAAATAACCCGACGAGTTTGGGAAATATACGGACTAGCACCCAGGGTAAATTTATGAAAATATTTATTCTTTTAAGGCTGTCAATAAAATATATATATATTATATGCAACGGGCATGATCTAATCACCAATTAGTTATTTAAATAAAAAATATAGGTTAGGGAAACACCATAGCGACACAAGGAACGTCAATCAGATGACAAAACATAGTAATTAATAAACGAAAATATCCATAAAACATATTTATGTACGAAAATATTGGTCAATAATAATCGACAATTTTTCTTACCTACTAAAACATAATAATCATAAGGTTAGAAAAAATAGTTGAAATAAATAAATATTGCCGGCCAAGGTGATTAATAAAATGGGTAATATTATTATTTACCGTTCGGGAGAGAAATTTTCCTACGACTGAGATGGATTGACCTTAGCCACACAACCTGAGATTTGAAAAAAACAGCCAACAATCTTCTAATTCTACAGGAGCGCCACTGGGGCTGCTGGGCTGACGAAGGTGTTAGTGGTTGGACGGTGATGGATCAAGTCCCCGTTCTCCGGAGCTTAGCCACCCACGGAGATTCGAACAATGTTTTTTTTTTTTTTTTTATACATATGAATCAAATATAATTTGATTGACCGATAATATATATCATTTGAACAATCAGGTACTAACGGAGGGGAATACGTGAGCAGCAACATTATCTGCAAATCGCGGCTGTGTGTCGGAGTAATTTAATAATAATAATCAGCGCATAGGTATTCGTAACGCACACAACTTTATGCATCGATCCTTGAACATTACACCTTGTATGTAATTCGGGTTTTTTGTAATGCATAGAGGACATAAAATTACATTTATTTTTGATAAATTTTAATTTTTAAAAAAAAATTCTGTGCATGCATAAAAAAATATTTTTTTTTTTTTTAAATGGCACTCCTCATTTTTGAGTTCAAATTTGAGTAATATGAATTTTTTCAAGCAACTTTGATCTTTAAAGTTTTGCTCTATCTTCAAAATTGACTAATCGAAAATAAGTTAAATTTTCGATTTATAACATTTGTATTTATTGTATTTTTCAATAGTCTACTTGGAGTTTTACAAATTTATAAGTAATTTCCTATGAATTTTTCTTAAAAATTAAGTGTACTGTCATAAGTTCAAGTAATTAACAAAATTTTGATTTTGATAAAGAATTAAATTATCTAATTCCAGCTTAAGCATAGTATTAATAACAAATAATATTGGTTTCACATTTCTACAAAATAAATATTTTTTTTTTCTGTCTTTTATCGACTTTAATTTTATGCCTTAGATTATTTTATCTTAATTTCGTGGGTGACCTAATAAATGATAATTTTTGTTAGGTACTATTTCTAACTTTGCTCACATTTATGATCAAAGTATATTTTATAAATTGTTGTTAAAATGTGGTTTGTCATTCGTTTGGGTTACATTTATTTTCATTTATTATAGTGAGCTTCATTAAAAAAATAGATATGCTCTTAATTTATGGCGAGTGCCAAAAAAATTCGTGCAATGCAGCAAGATTTTATGCATACTGGTACCCGGATCAATATCACCCACCTCAGAACTTTTTTTCGTGAATTGAAATGAATTTGTGAGAATACGGACAGTTCACGAGTAGAGCTGGTAATGACCGCCGTAATGAAAGACCACATGATGCCAATGATGATGCAGGTATTAGTATACATTAATATTAATCCTCGATCTTCTATGTGACATTTGGCGAGAGAACTTAATATATACGTGAGAAAAGTGCACTCGATTTAAAAAAAAAATAAGTATCATCCATATCGGTCAAACTTTGTTCAACATTTAGTACTTGGTGATTCACAGAAAAAGCTTACGTTTATTGCATGGTTATTGGTACAAATTCAGGAGGAACCAAGGTTTTTAGACTACATTTGTTGGACTGACAAATCCAAATTTACTAATAACGGTATTATTAACAAACAAAATAATCGATATTAGTCTGATAGTAATCCATTTTGGACAAATGATAATAATTTTCAACACGTATGGGGAACAAACGTTTGGTGTGGACTTGTAGGTGGAAAATTACTCGGTCCTTATTTTTATGATGGCACATTGACTGGTACGAGATACCTCGACTTATTATCAAGTCAGCTCTCCATTTTTATGGAAGATATTCCACCAAACATTCGCGTACATTTATTTATTCAACAAGACGGAACACCTGCGCATAACTCATTAATTGTTCGCGAATATTTAGAGAGAACTTTTAATCATAGATGGATGGGCACTTGTGGGCCAGTACAATGAACGCCAAGATAACCAGTTTTGACACCTTTGGATTTTTTTTTTATGGGGACATTTGAAGATCGTTGTCTATTCCAACCCGCTAAATGATCTTCAAGATTTGAAAAATAAAATAATTATCACGTGTGCACAGTTAACCGAAGAACAAATATTTTCTGCGACACACAGAAAAGTATTACGACGGCGTGAAGCATGCATTGCAAATAATGGTAATAACTTCGAGCAATTTATACGATGAATTGTAAAATTTAATCAAAATTCACCTATACATAATTTAATTGTTCAATAAAATTAAAATTTTGTTATAAAAC